ATTTATTTAACCTTTGACCCAGCGATTCTGCTCTCTCGACTTACCCTACACGTCCATTTACTGCAGCATTGTTTAAAAAGCAAAAGATTGGAAACCACTTAAATGCACATGAGTGGGAGACACGTTAAATATTTCAAGATAAAGCCACACTGTAGAATACCATAATCCTTAAAAAAGGAGTGAGAAAGTCCTGTATGAACGGATATGGAGTGATTTAGAAGAAGTTAAAAAAACATCTCAGGAGTGTCTATAGTATGCTACCCTTTGGACAAAAAAGTGAGGATAAATAAGTAAACAGGTTTGCTTCCATATTTATAAAATATATCTTCAAGAATAGGAAAAAATGATAATGGATTGCTGGAGATGCTTGATACAGGTACTTCATTTTGCGCCTTTTGCATTTGAACCTCTTCTGTGCATTATACATTTAAAAATTTTTTAACTAAAGAATTTAGGAAACTATGTAACAACCTAAAAATTAAATAAATGAAGTGAAAGTGGAATATCATGTGTAATGTGTGCATTATAATTGCAACTACATAAAACATAGAAGATATGAAAAGAAGCAGAAAAAACTGAGATGGAACTGTGGACATTTTAACATTTTTTTGCCAATATTTCTGTAATTATGTCATTAAAAACCACTAAACTGTTAAAAAATTAGAATAAAACAATGCTGTTTTAATTACTAAAAGTATTAGTCTAATTATGACTGTTCTTTTTTTAAGAAAGATAAATAAAATGGGTCCATTTTTAAGTGCTTCACTCTTGGGGAGAAAAAAGCAATGTCCTATACACTTCTTTTTAAAAATTTCAGTTAAACACATACTAACTCAGAAGTATTTTATACTTGTTACTATGACCCATTAATCTTACTAGTTGTATTGCAGCCTAGAACAGTAGAGTCAGAAGGGGTTTTACAGGATTGACATAGTGTACTTCCTCAGATCTTTGTTTTTAGAAACTCATTTTCTCTTTTCTTGCTTTTATATCCCTAAATTAATGAACCCATCTAATCCAGTTAATTGTCTTTGTTAAGAAATACCAATGGTAATAAGGCTACTTGTATGTCTTACTCCATTTGGAATTTCAGTGTATAAGGGGGAGAACAAACACACCAGCTATTCAGTGAGGATTAACCATGCAACCTATGAATCCCCCAGCCACAGAGGAATGAAAGAATTGGAACTTGCCAAATGCACCTTTCTAAAGGGATAACATCCAAATACACCCTAAGAATAGTATCTTTAGGAATTGGGGAGAAAATTACTAGTCTCTGATATGTTTCTTTCTTGGCAGTTAACTCAACTATTTAACTTTACAATCTATCCTTTTCCCTATTTTTTTCTTTTCTAGGTTATATCTAAATTTAATATTGAAGACAGCACAACTTAGCATTCCTGTGATCTGATCTTATTTTCCAGGACAAATGTGTGCATTTCCTTCAATTACCTTATTAGAATTAGGAAATATTAGAATTTCAGAGATTGGTTCAGAGTTTTTTCTGTATCTTAATGTTAAACTTTCTTTCACTCATTATTGTGATCGCTTACACTTTGTGTCTCTCTTGCTTGAAGAGATTTCATAAAAACAATTTTAATAAATGTTGTATGCAGTGTATGCAACATATTTACATGAATTGCCTCATGAACTTGAAATTTCAGAAGCTGTAACTCTAACTTAAATGCTTTAACCTAGTTCTCAATATGTGAAAAGTCATTTAAGGCTCAAATGGCTTCAACATGAAACTCTTTGTAAACAGCCTACGGTGTTTGTGGATTCTGGAATTAGCGCCAAAACATTCCACCTGTGCCTTCAAAGAAAGGCCGTGGCTTTTTGTTTATTTATACGCACATGATAACACATACCAAAGGAAAACAAAATTTTAAATGTTAAATATGTTGAAAGTAATAAAGACAAGGACAACTAAACATCTGCTATCTTTGAACTATATGTAAGTCATGGAATTCTTCGTCTATAAAGTCATGGCTTCCACCTAAATCAAGAAGAGAAATAATGACTAGAGAGATATCCCTACTGCAGAGCAGGGACATTGATCCCTTAGTGCAGGGGTTGGCAAACTAAAGCCTGTGGGTCAAATAGGCCTTACCGCCTGTTTTTATAAATAAAGTTTTGTTAGAACACCACACTCATTTGTTCATATTTTCCCTGTGGCTGCATTCATGCTACAGTGGCAGAGTTCAGTAGCTGCAACAGAAGTCATTTGGCCTGCAAAGCCTAAAATACTTGCTATCCGGTCATTCAGAGAAAAATATTGCCAAGCCTGCACACTTAGTGGGCTTCCTCAAAAGGAGGAGATAAGACATAGCAGTCCTTGAGACAAGAGGCTGAAAATCAAATTACTAGCATCACTCTTATTTCCTTTCATAGGCAAGAAAGATTTGGCGTATAAACCTCAACTTGAAGGAGGATTATGCTGTTCTACTCATAATATTTTGGAGTACTAGATAAGGAGTACTGTTACATTTTTCTTTATGATAGATTGCGTGTACAAATTATATAATTGAAAATGTATGTTTTAAAAAAGACTTATTTAGAGACATATAGTATAGATAAATAGATGTATAGATACATAGCAGAGAAGGTAGACACCAGAAATGTTTGGCATAAGCTGATGGCTGAGATGATAGCCAGAAAAAGGAGGTGAAAGATAAAGTTAGAACCACTGAACAAGACAGGTATCCTACAGAAGAGCAAAGATGGCTGCAGAGGCCTCACAGGTAAGCCCCCACCTTATTAAAAGTTGGGACCAATAGTCCACATTTCCGACAACTCCTTCATTTATTGCTACCACACAAATAGGAGGGTAGAAACATTTTTTAGGAAGAAGGAATACCTCCACCAACTGCTCCCATCCCAGGATTTCTTATAGCTCACTCTTACCTGCTTCTACCTATCTGGGAGTCCAGAAAGCTACCGGGACCCTCACACCACCAGACAAGGTTAGAATCCTTGGAAGCTCTATCTCTACCCTTGCTCTTCATATCTCCCTTTTTTGTACCCTGGCTGGAGTGAAAATAACCATCATCTTTGAAATACGTCTGACTTTGTATTTGTCAGTAAATCACCTTAGGGCACAACTGTCTACTATGGAGCACAAGACAAGGAAACTTAACTAGGATTTGCAAATTCAAACCCAACACATAGTTCTCTAATCCGTTCCCACTCACTACCACAAGACACAGTCATATGTTTATGATGACATTTGTATTGTACTTGACAGTTGCCAGAGCAGCATCATAATATCCTAATTTATGACGAGTTGCTTTAATGAGTACAACACTTTTCCCCGAAGCCAGATCCAGCCTGTGACCCGCACTTTGCAGAGTGGGAAACAGAGGCTCCACATAGTTCAATGAGGCTCCCAAGACTGCACAAGTCAGGACTAAATAGAACTGATTTGACTTGTAATCCAGTGCTCTTTTGACTATATCATGTGGCCTCCCAGGAGTCCAGAGAAACAAACTGCTGTAAACTGATGGTTTCAGGATGCATTGTGCTGTGGACTGATTTGTGGCCCCTTCCTCCTCCAAATTCATATGTTGAAGGCCTAATCCTCAATGTGACTGTATTTGGAGATGGGGCTATAAGGTGGTAATTAAGGTTAAATGAGGTCATAAGGGTGGGGCCCTAAGAAGATGGGGTTAGTTGTCCTTATAAGAAGTACACACCAGCGAGCTCACTCCCTTGCTCTTTCTGTCATGTAAGGACACAGCAAGAAGGCAGTGGTCTGCAAGCCAGGAAGAGAACTTTCCCCAGGAACCGAATCAGCCAGCACCTTGATCTTGGACTTCCCAGTCTCCAGAACTCTGAGATATAAATTTCTGTTGTTTAAGCCACACCCAGTTTGTGTTATTTTGTCACAGCAGCCTGAGCAGACTAAGACACACTGCTAAGAGTAACATTAAGATCAGGAAAACTCGGGGAAAAAACCATACAGTGTCTGTTTGCTACAGTGCGATCCAACTGGATAAGAATGTAAACTCTAAATACTGGCAAAATAAAAAAGGACCAGCAGTGAAATTTCTTCTTGTAATTGCTCTGAAACCATCTATCCAAGACACGACCCTGAAGACAGACGGACTGTGTTAAAATAGTGGATGGTGAGTGAAGTGTCTGTGGAGCAGATACTTTGTTGGGTTCAGCAGCTGAGAAACAAACGTTTCTGTCATCTAAAGCTTCTAAGCCAGCTTCGGTGAGCTTTACTTGAGGAAACAAAGCAGGCTCTGACATCCAGAAGCTGGCCTAGCCCTATCAGCAAGGTCTCGGTGTTCTCCTGTTGGACGTAAACAGGAATGTTACATGGAATATCAACACCAGATAAGGCCACTCTGTGACTGTGATGGATCAGGATAAAACCAAGGCAATTCCATAATCGTGTCTCATCGCAGACAAAACGTGAACATTGTCCAAACCACAAAATACCCAACATGAAGATTAGCCCTTTCTGGCTAATACAAGTGACTGCCGCTGCTTCACCAATTAGTCTGCCCACCCTAGAGAGAAGAACTATTGGGATACCCAATCAGAATTACCCCTGCTTCCTGACAGCATCCAATCCACAGCAAAGCCCTGCTTCCTTAAGCCCTCCCAAAATCACCCAGCAAGAGCCCAAATCCTTTCAGGCTTTTCTAATGCCTGAGACACTCTATTATGCTAACTTATGATACATATTATGCTAAGTTATGACCTAATTTATAATATTATTATGCTAATTTATGAATCCACTTCTGGACTGTAAACTCCTGGCTGGGGTCATTCCAAAGCTAACCATCTCTGCAGCATGGGTTTCTGATGAGGGAACTTCAGATGCTATCTAACCACCCCTATGATGCAGATTAAAGTTAATTCACATAGGCATAAATCCCATGGTTCCCACAGAGAATAAAACACATCCCAAACTTTAATCTTATTGAAAGGCAAATAAATCCAACATATTGTTTAGAAAATTTTCATCTACTCTGAGTCTTTGAACATACCACAAAAATGGGATCATTGGCCGCAGAATGTGGCAAAGCACTTGTCCCGTTCAGGAAAGAATGAACCAAATTATGAAGGCTGAGCACTTGAGAGTCCAGGGTCCCATCCGCTTTATCAAACCCTTCCAGGGCATTCCTGAGAGAAATCAGCATGTCAGCAATAAAAGTCATGGATTAATAAAAGTCTCTTTGGATTGTTTCCAGCCTAGACAACACTCTTCTCATTTGAGTTGGGTAGGAAAATGAGAAGCTCTGTCATAGCTAATTAATTAACAATTCGCCCCAACTTTTAATGATGATCTCCTCTAAGGAGATGGAACTCTTAATCAATGCTACTTCTGTACCTGCTAAGTTGGATTATATCTCTTTTGTGTACTGTATGACAATTAATTATCTTCATTTCTGTCTCCCACGCCGGACTATGAACTCCTAGAGGGCAGTGACTATATATCCTTCAGATTTTTATTGCCAGGGCTCAGTACCATGACCAGCACACAGTCTATGATCATTAAATATTTTTTGAGTTAACATATAATCCTATATTCATATTTCTCAACTAAAGAGACCTGCAGTTTGACTGTAATACATTCAGCATCCTAAATATATCCCCCAATTCCCCTTATCCTTCTCTTTTTTCCCTCTCCCCATTTTCAGGAAATTCTAATTGTCAATTGTCCATACCCTAACTCAGTGAGCTTCAAATTTAAGCATACATTGGAATCATTGGAGGAAAACACATATTTCATGCCCCACTTCCAGAATTTCTGATTCAGTAGGTGCGGGCTGGATCCCAACAATTTGGAGTTCTAACCAACTCCCAGATGGAAGTCTAGGCACTGAACATTGAGAACCACTCTCTTAACTCAAATCTATATGGATTGCACTCTGCTTCAATAACATTTTTATCACAGTGAAAACAATAATACACACTCTATTTCAAGACAGTCTTAAATGTCACCCTTTACCTCAACTTTGAAATCACTCTGAGGGCTGTGACCAACTCCAGCACAGACTCTGAGTCCTGCTACACTTAGCACAACCTCTGCACTCAAGTTCTGTCCACTCTGCCCCTGGCCCCAAATAACCCATCAGTTGTATAGTTTACACACAGTTATGAGAGAGAGAATTCAGTCTGGTAGAAGACCGTGAATCTATCTATCCACCATTCTTTTATGGAGCCCCATCTATCTTTGTTTAAAATCATTTATATCCATACATATTTCTCATACTTCTCAAAGTCTTTTTGGAGGGACAAAATTGTTAGCTGGTCTTGAAATTTCAAGCATTGTAATGTCATTGCTATGCTGTAATTTGAGCTGCATTTACTCTGTAATACTCCTCTGAGATTTTAGACCCCAATATGAAAGTCTATGGCTGACAAATTTTTTTAAAAAAATAAAAAGAAAGAGTATGAGCAAATATTCTAAATGCTGTCTTTAACGAGTTCCCTGGTCCTGAAGACTGTACCTCTATTTTTACAGAAATTAGAAATACAAAAGATGCTTTTGAATAGCTAAGTTAGGAGATGTTAAATCTACACTATTAATTATAGTGGATGGATGATGACTTTCCTAACACTGACCTCTTGTTATCCAGTCCTATCAAGCACTTCTCCATTACTTAGCTTTGTAAACGTCTCCCAAGACCTGGATTTCCTTCCAGGTCATAACAGGCATGAAAATCTGAAAGTGTCAAAAAATGCCAGTCTAGCAGAGTTCAGAGCACCAACCTGAAGCTGAAGGTAGAGTTCTGAAAAAAAGGAGGATTGTCAAACTTCTTGAGAGACAGACAATCTTGTATGTCGTGTAAGGTTGGTAATTTCTCACTGTTTCTTCCCACTTGATTTCTTCTCAACAAACCTTCGTAGGTTCCATTACACAGGGTGACCCGGCGGTTGTAGTCATCTAAGCTAAGATTTGTAAGGAGATTAAAGATAATATGTCAATTCATGGATAGAGAGTGTCATAACTTTGGGCCAAGTAACCCAATCAGGTCATGATAAAATTTTATTACAGCTACCTTACAAGGGTCAAAAATACGTGCTAAAACTACTACCTCTGAAAGTAATTATGGATTAAGGAGTTTCAAAAACCAAGATCCCATAACATATCAATATATCCATAAAGATGAAGAATAATTACCATTCCACTGGAGAGACAGTAAGAATAATTACCATTACAAGGCAAGACGGTGACTCCTGTCATGCGCATTTGAATCTGAAGTAACTGAAAAGAGACCAGGGTGCCCCGTGTTATACTGAGCTAAGCCAGTTTGGTCAGAAATGTCTGTGTAAACTGGGAAAGCGTTTTAGGCAAACGGAAGGCAGATGGAGGTGGTCAGAGTAAAATCAGATGAAACTATACAGAGGAGCGGCATTAGCAGAAACGCTGTATTAGAACATGTTCCAAGGCAGTAGGGATGGTTATGTGGCAAACATGGAGGCTGAGGAGGGGCCATGCCATGAAAGGCTATATCCTACACGTCTGTTACGGCCTGGAATTCCACCATCAGAGCATTATTTCATTGGTAGACATAAAAGTTTAAAGATGTTTCTCTGTGGCTTTTAATGGGTGAGGGCATGGTGCCAGGGATGTGAGAATGGAATCAGCACAAGCATGAGGGTGAAAGAGGCCAGTGCCTGAAAACTAGGCAAAAAAGGCCTCCAAAGCTGCATTTCCCCAGTGTGTTCCGGTGAGACGATCTGTGCAATAAAGGTGCCGGGTCAGTGAGTGCAGTGCAGGCCCCTCTTGAAGAATAGCGATACGCTTACATAAGAAAGGCTCTTTACGTTCTAAAATTAAAAAATCTTTTCAACTCAGCATTCCTTAAATTTATTGGATCATAGAAATCTCTTTTCATGTCCTACCTATTAATACCCCAAGGCACTGTGAGAAATGGTGTTTTATGAAATTACACTAAGTCATGTAAAAAGCGCCTACTACGTCCCTACATATTCTGGAGCACTGTCTGGAGGGCTGTAGGAAAATCTTAAGATGCAGAAGGTGGGACCCCTGCTAGCCAGGCCTAGACCCCTGAAAACACGCGCACACCCAGCCTGGGGGTGTTGGCAATGAAGCTCTGTGCCATGAGTAGTCGAAAGATACAGAAGAGGAAAGCTAGAGTAGTGGGGTTAAAAACAGGAGGATGTCGTAGGAAACAAATGAATAAAGGAAGCCAGAGGAGTCCCTTGAGGAAGCTTTTTCTGCATGTGTTCCGGGAAACAGAAACAAATGCAAGGGATCACTGAGGACAGAACTCTTCATGGGCTGCGGGCTGCTGGTCTGCGTGTGTGTTCTTTGGTACTTCAGAGGCCATTCTCCCCTGCCCCATGCCTGTCCTCTCAACTCACTAGCACCCGTGGCCCAGCCCTACCAGACTGCTACAACAGACTTTTCTAGCTTCAGACGTGATGTCCCCTCCATCTGGGACACACTCACCACCCTCCCCTACATCTAGCTGAGGTCTGTGCCTACTTAAAGTCCCTGGATAATCATCCCCACCTGTTAGAGACTTTTCCTGACTCTCTTCTTGGCTGTGCACATATGTCTATTAAGATACTTCTCACGTTGTTTTGTAACTTGTTTACAAGCAATTTACCTTTGTAAACACAATACGATATTCAAAAGGGAAGCTATATTTTATTCATCCTTGTATTCTCAGCACTATTACACTGATTAGAATATGATCAGTGCTTAAGAAGTGTGGGCTGAATGCAGGAACTACTTCTAATTTTGAAACAGTTGATCTCAAAATGAAGACCAAGCCCAACAGGCACATGAAAAGATGCTCAACATCACTAATCATCAGGGAAATGAAAATCAAAACTAGACTTATATACCATCTTACACCCATCAAAATGGCTATAATCACCAAGACAAAAAACAACAAATGTTGGAGAGGTTGTGGAGAAAAGGGAGCCCTCATACACCACTGGTGGGAATGCAAACTGGTGTAGCCGCTGTGGAAAACAGTGTGGAGACTCCTCAAAAAATTAAAAATAGAAATATCATATAACCCTGTTATCTCACTACTGGGTATTTACCCAAAGAACTGGAAAGCAACAATTCAAAGAGACTTATGCATGCCTATGTTGACTGCAGCATTATTCACAATAGCCAAGACATGGAAGCAACCCAAGTGCCCAGTGAAGGATGATTGGATAAAGAAGATGTGGTATAGATATATACAATGGAATACTATGCAGCCATAAAAAAGGACAAAATCATCCCATTCACAATCACATGGATGAAGCTTGAGGGCATGATGTCAAGCGAAATAAGCCAGAGAGAGAAAAACAAACACCATATGATTTCACTTATATGCAGAATATAAACAAACTCATGGACAAAGAAAATAAATTAATGGTTACCAGGGGAAGGAGGGTGGAGGGTGGGTACAAGGGGTGAAGTGGCATATATATGGTGTATGACAAACAAAACCTCACTATGTTATAAGCTATTATGAGCACAATTTAAAAAGTTAATGAAAAAAAATGATGGCCAAGCATACTTAATTCACAAATGTGGTTTCCATACCTCTATTTTTTTATTAAAGGGCTTATAATTTTTTAAACTCCCATCTTCCTCAGGAAAATCATTTTCAGAAACATCTAAACAGAACCCAACATGCATTTGAAACTTAAATATAGAGTGACTCTCCATCTCTCAGACGTAAGAAAATATGGTGTCTGGATTTCCATTGCAGGTACACGTGCCATTACCTATCACAGACAATTTCCCAGCTGGAGAATCTTGAATTCTGGCTGATCAGCATCGGATCGTCTTGTCTTGCTGCCCCAAGAAGCTGGTCGGTACACACATCACACTCATTCCTCCCAGTGGCAAAGTTCCAGTAGGGCAAAGCAAAGGACTCATTGCCAGTGAGTCGCTAGAAGCAAAGGGCATATCTAGTCATTTAATTCACGCCATCAGGTACAACAAGAAAGCGAGTAGTGCAAAGACTGATATGAGTCTCCAAAATTATAGCAAAATTAAAAGAGCCAAATGTATAGTTTTCACCAACCTGGAGATCTCTTTCCAGCCACAACAAATGGTACCGGTGCCATGTAACAAAGGCAGGTCCTTGGTGTGAGAAGTCGATGGCCTTATATGGGCGCCCTGGTCCTAAACAATTGGGAAACTAATTAAAGATCACAGAATAAAGTTTTTTAAATGTTAAACCTTACCTGGGATGTGTCTACAGAGCCAATAAGTCCATGATGTTTTAGTTGGAAAAAAGTGTTTTTGTCATTCATCTCTCTGAAAACAACATCAACAAAACAATTTCAGAAGCAACTAGCATTTTTGGGATAAATTCTCCTTTATCTCTCAAAAGTTTGATAGTTGACAGAGATCCGGAGAAATTCAGGTCACTTTCAGCTTTAAGAGCCCCGATTATAGGGGCCGACCCCCTAGCACAGCGGTTAAGTTCAAACGTTCTGCTTCTCGGTGGCCCGGGGTTCACCGGTTGGGATCCCAGGTGCAGACATGGCACCACTTGACACGCCATGCTATGGTAGGCATCCTACATATAAAGTACGGGAAGATGGGCACAGATATTAGCTTCAGCGCCAGGCTTCCTCAGCAAAAAGAGGAGGACTGGCAGTAGTTAGGTCAGGGCTAATCTTCCTCAAAAAAAAAAGCCCCTGTTATATATTTAATTTTCAAGCAACATGTCATTAAGATGCAAGAAGAGTATCCAAAGGAGTAGATCATTGAGACCTAAATGAAATACGTTTTTAAAAGACATTTTCTAACCTAGTCCTTACAAATGCACACATTTATAAGAGAGGGATTAATAATAATAAAGTAACTTCAACTATACTTAGTCCTAATTCAGCATTTATAGAACCAAAAAGGACTTCCACAGATTTTGCCTCAGCCATCAATCAGTTGCAACTACTAGCTGACAAGCATGGCTGCCAAGACTAGACGAGAGAAAAATACATTCAAACCGATTTGGCTGGCCACTGGAACTACCAATTTGAGTGAAACACTTTGGGCAATTTAATGACCTCCTTACTGCCTGTTCCATCCTTCCTCCCTCTTTCATAACAGCTTTTGAAGGCTATGTAGAAACTTTCACTAACTTTAGTTCTTTTTGAAAGTATCTATAATAACTTCAGAGAGATGAACAGACATGAATATAAATTTAATTCCTGGATACGATCAGAAACTATAGTTTTCTTTTCCTCTTGAGAGACAACCCTCTCATAAAGCAAAAATTCCTCAGAGTGATGACAGGAAAACCATGAAGGTTTATAGCCAGAAGGGCCTCCGTAGCTATCGATAAAGAAAGACAGATGCTTACCTGTGGGGCGCATTTTAAAAAGACTCACACTGAGGAAAAAACTGTTCTCGCTGCTGTTGGCTACACAGTCCATTTAAAATGTTTTACTGTGGAACAAAGTTTAAAGTTCTCAAAACAAAATGATGAGGGGGAATCAAGTGGTGGGGAAGGAGTGATAGACATGAGGACAGAGAATTCCTGATGAGAATCCGACTGTTCAAAGGGAGCGCAAGGTCTCCATGCACCCTAACCCCAATGAGGGGCCCCAAAAGTGGAGACTTGTAGGTATAGCCAAGGCTCAGGACTGCACTGAGCAGAACCTGGAAGGGATTCAAGCCCTCCTGCAGCTAACTACTGTCTACAGCTTTCGCTTTCTGAAAATAACTGAGGATGAAGTTGGACCTACAAGATTAATGACCTTCCTAACAGATAACTCTCCATTCCAAGTGCTCCCAGGCCCAACTTTTAGGGTCTGGAAGGGCAGGGCACCATTTTCTCAAGTATCCCACATAACTGGCTCAAAGGGCTAAGCTAAGCTATATTGCTGTGGCTTAGCTTATGCTTTTCCTTGACAATACAACCCCAAAAAACTTGGGGATCCCAGCAGTGCATGGACATCATAAATGAAGGCCTGAAAGTCTGTAGACTAATACCTGTGAGTTTAATGAGCAATACCTTCCAATAAAAACACTTCAACTCTGCACAAAGAAGCTTCATGTGCTTCAGTGCATGTTCAGTTAGTGCCTCCAATTTGAAGAAAGGGTCAGAGAGGCCTTCCATGGCCAGATTTAGAAAGGTTTCCTTCTGGAATCAAAACGGATTTGCCTCCACTTCACCAACTCTTGCCTTTGAAGATTAAGAGCTTCATTGAGAAGAGTTTAGACTTTGAACCCAAAGTACAAACTGCAAATGTCTGCAGCCAACGTACAGGAAGAAACAGCTCCATTCCATCCTAGGCAGTATTTGACTGTTCCATGATTTTCCGAAGCCTAACTCTTCCTTGAGATTGTTCTCTTGTTAATTAACTTACCTGAAATGACTTCCCACCCACTCATCCCCAATCCCAAACCTGTAATAATACACCTTAAGCTAAGGAAAAAACCTACCTAATAGTGTATCTCTAACAGAATAATAATGGAGCCACACAAAGAAATCATAAATGCTGCAGTTGGCAATCTGTGGCTGGGTCCCATTTGGCCCAAGCAGCCCAAGCCAGTGTTGCGTGGTGATCACATAGTCGGGGTGTGTGGTGTTCTTCGCGAGATCTAAGGCACCCAAAAACTGCTCCCTCTCCTGAGGAGTCAAGGAATGGATATTCTGCCGAACAACTGGTGCTTTCTTCCGATCACAGTTGGGGCCGGTCCAGCCAAACTTGCAGTCTCCACAGTTATAGCCAGCAAAGTTTCCTAGTTTATTTTTTAAAAAGAGAGAGAGAGAGAAAGATGGAAAAGGAAATAAGTTTATATAGTTTGGAAGAAATTTCCAAATTTGAACTCTGGGGTAGAATGGAAGAGAAGATGAAGGTGATGACAAGAGGGCAAAGACAGTCAATTTCCTTTCCTTACCCTCCTCTTGAAAGGTTCCTATCTCCAAGGGGACTGAACACTAGAAAGTTCCCAAGAAATATTCCCAGCAAAGAAATAGGATGTGAAATGCGTTACATGCTGTTATGAGCTGAACTGTGTCCCCCTGAAATTCATATGTCGAAGTCCTAAGCCCCAATATCTCAGTATTTGATTGTATTTGGAGACAGGGTACTTAAAGGAGTAATTAAGTTAAAGTGAGGTCAATAGGGTAGGCCCTAATCCAATATGACCAAGGTCTGTATAAGAAGAGGAAATTTGGACACAGTTAGTTACAGAGGGAAGGTCATACGAAGGAAGATACAGGGAGAAGACAGCCAAACCTCCTGACACCTTGATCTGGGACTTTAGGCCTCCAGAATGTGAGAGAAGGAATTTCTGTGTGTCACCCAGTCTGACGTACTTTGTAATGGAAGCCCTAGCAAACTAATACAGGCACTGCTTGCTAGGCTTTCCTTCCTCTCACAGATCATGCTGGAGGGGGTTCTTCCTGTGTCCTCTCCATGCTCCCATCCAGGGGCTGAGCAGCAGCCTTGGATGTCAACACTGCCCCTCTTGTCCTGTGGCACACACAATAAGGCCGACACAAAACAGTTCATTGATTTAGAGAAGGAAGAGAATATACCCCAAGCTAAAGGTGGAAGCAAAATAAATAAGCTGATTTCCAGGAATTTAGGTGAAATCTAACATTAAAAAAGCTAGCTTATTTCACAAAGGAGACAGAGTTAAGACAAAATCAATGGCAGCTGGCAGGTCATAAAGCTGAATTAGCTGCCATAGTGTCAGGAAGTGTAGATCACTGCAGGGTTGCCTGTCGTCTGCACAAATGCCTTTCCTTTATTAACCCCGGCACTGAGCCCTGGTCAGCTCGAGCTCTAAGCACCTTTCTGATTAGCGTCTGAAGTTTAAGTTATTGTCGCTGCCTCTGACTTTTTCCATCTTAGGCTTGATTATTGCTTTTGGTATGATAAGCGCCTCATTACTAGGTGGCAATAAGTTAGAGAGTAAACATTTAAATATTATTGAGGGCCGGCCCCAAGGCAGAGTGGTTAAGTTCGCACGCACCAATTCGGCGGCCCTGGGTTTCTCTGGTTTGGATCCTGGGCGTGGACATGGCACCACTCATCAAGCCATGCTGAGTGGGCATCCCCCATAGCACAACCAGAAGCACTCACAACTAGAACATACAGCTATGTTACTGGGGGGCTTTGGGGGAAGAAGAAGGAAGAAAAAATAAATAAATATATATATAAATAAGTATTATTGCAGTGAAATGTTAAAACAAAAGGGGATAATGATATTTATCTCCTAAGGGATTAGAGAGGTTATGTAAAGTATTTACAGGGAGGTGACCTGCTCCCTTGCCCTCCTCCTCCATCTGACACTCCCAGACCTTTGTACTTGCTCTTCCTTCTGTCTGCAACACTTTTCCCTCATAGTCTCCCTAAGTTCCTTTTTGCCTGGGTTACCTACTCTTCCTTTAAGGTTCAGGATGGGTCTTCTGCAACGTCTTCCTTGACTCCACATGTCAGAGTCAGATGCTCCCACGCTGTTCTCCCTGTGTTTGTAACCCCCTGTTCCCCTTTCATTGACTTGACCACACCGACTGCAATCATCTACTTGTCTCAGCTACAGGCAACTGGCGCATGCTTGGCCTTGTACAAAATGAATATTTGTTGGATGAATCAAAGAAATATAAAGCTAAATCACCACAAGGTATGCTTTAAATCTCTTACAATTTTGGTTGTCAATTCTACCTCAATAAAGCTGAAATTTAAAAATAGTTAATTAATAAAAGAAAGAAGTATAAAGCATGTAGCAGATAATTCAATAAACATAAAACTTCTTCTTTCTCTCTCTCCTATCCTTGTGGATTAGAAAGAAAAGTGGGCCCTATAAATAACTTTGATAAACTGTAGGTACCAAAATAGAGTAAGTAAAAAATACTATGACCATAGTAGAGAGAAGTTTATTTGGATTGCTAAAGGAAGAGAAAATTTTCCAATAGCATGAAAACAAAATGATTAGCACCTGTACTACGTAAAGAAAATGCACAGCATCCTTTTCTATTAACCCAATGGATTTTTGGATGGCTAAAGAAAACGTTCTTAAAAATATCATAAGTAGGAAGAATTTTTTTTAAAAAGTAGTTGATTTTTTGGGTTCTTTCCTTTTGTCATATACAAAATATTCTATCTATCCTTACATAGCTCGTTATCTGTATTTTCCTATGTTTCAACACCATACGAGAACATAAGTAAAAACTACTTAAAAGGAAAAATTCTACTGGTCTCAAGACTGAAGATCATGTTGCTGAATAGTTTGAGTTAAACATTAAATTTTATGTTGATTACCAGAGTGAAGCTACTAAATACAAAATATTAAATCAATGTTTATTGAGCAGTTACTATAGTATTGAAGCTATGCAAGGTGCTTCAGGCTTCATGGAGCTTGGAGTCTATTTATTTTCCCTCAGGGTACCTACTAAAATTGTATACTATCTATTTTTAAAACATCTTTGATTAAAACATATCACCAACTCTGGCAGCTTTTACAGGAATAGTGTATTTTTTGAGGAGTAATCGAACGAAACGCACCTGAAGAATACTAACCATCCAAACTTCCAGCTGTTTGCCTATAGCCACAGCTCTATGACAGGAGAGTAATTCCTTCCTTCAAAATACTAAGAAATAGCACATCTAAATTTTGTAATAATAAATTCAATACATTTCTATATTTAAAGGCATAAAACTTATCTTTGAATTTTGGGGTCTCGTTGTGGAAATTGAGTCGTTCATACCTTAGGCCTTAGTTTTAAGATTCCTGCACTTTCTTTACCACAGTTCTTTTTGGTGGCTAGAAACAAAATTACCAATAAGCAGTTATCTCTCTCCTTCATTTACACAACAAATGATTTATTAACACCTACAACCTAAAGGGCAGACAAAACTAAGCGTGCCTTCCTCTGTTCCTACAGCTTCATGTCCATTCATACAAATTACCGCACTTGGTAACTTTGCACTTAACCTCCCAAAGCCTGTCATTTTAGGATACGAATTCTACTTTATAAGGTCCTTATGGAAAACAAGCATGTTAACATATTAGAGCACTTAGAACAGGGTCTGGTGCATAGTAAGTTCTATATGAAGTGTTATTACACTAGTATTACTAGATACCACTTCTCAAGTAGTACTGATTAGCATTTGTTTCATATCTGTCTGACTCATCCACTACACTTTGGACACATTAAAGATCAAGCTGGGCTTTTTACTTTTTGCACCCGAAGGGCCTAACATAATCAGTGCTAAATAAACATTGGTTGGGTAGGTGATGAAGGAATCCGTGAATAATTGAATAAAAGGCATTAGGCGCTAGAAGTTACAAATATAAATAAGGCACAGTGCCTTCCTCTAGTGGAGATGAATGACGGACATGTGCATGATGAAATATGGGCACAAGTCTAACTGTGGGAGAGTGAAAACAGGAATAAACCAAGCGCCATGGACAGCAGAAGACAAAATGAGCAATTCTAAGTCAGGAGACCAGAGACGCTTCACAGCTCTTTTCACATACCAGAGTTGCCCCCGCAAAGCACTGTGGACGTACTAATAAGAAAGCATTTGTCTGGATTTGAGCTCACCCAGGACCCAGAAATGTAGTCAGTAAAAAAAAATACCTTTTCCAGTGTGTCTCAGAGAAAACACGCCACAGCTCTGCAGTCAGCTCCCTTTCATTGCTGAGCTTCTAAACCTGCTCTAAAGAATTCGTCGTTTCACTGAAGACAATTGCAAAGTGCAGCAACATGAAAGCCTTGCACACAAAATGTTGATTTCTTTAATTTAGATTTTGTAGTAGTTCTTTGCATCAGATTTAACATGAGTTCATTTTTTCTGTTAATACACTAATAGCAGCAGCAAAAAATTTAAGACAGGCTTTTTAGAACAGATTGTGTTATCTTACTGGGAAATGGAGAGAGAAAAAATAAAGGATCCCTAGATGATGCCAGTCTATCATTGAGTATGTCCTTGAGCAAAAATTAAACTTAAAAAGTCAAAGTCCTCTTTCTACAGAGGACTGGGATAAAAACAGAAAGAGATGCCACAACTGGAAGGACCTGCAACTAAGATATACAGCTATGTACAGAGGGGTTTGGGAAGATAAAAAAAAAAAAAAAAAGAACTGAAAGAGGGTGAGAACAGTGCACGTTCCTACACGAGTGGCAAAAGCTCAAACTCCGAAGGCTATTAGACTAAATGAGCTTAAAGACTACCGATTAGTGAATTTACAAGGAGTTCTAAATAGCCTATTCCTTTTAATTAGAGATTCTATTATTTTAATAACAATACTTCATACTCACACAGGGCCTTTCATCTACAGAGCTCAAAAGGATTTTACAAGTGTGGTTTCACCATTATCCCCATTTCAGAGATTGGAAAATGGAGGCACTTAGTCACTTGTACAAACAAGAAGTTCTTAGACAACAGTTAACTACTTGGTGCTCACGTTTTTCAAAAGGCCAAAGACAAAGCTGCAACTGGTATATTCTCTGAAATGCCAACTGGCAGGTAACACTGTAGGGTGAATGGCGAATGCCAAAATTTCCTGAAATTCGCCTCTTTCTGACAGTTAAGTTCAGTAATTTTTTTTGTTTCTATTTATTCCCACAAAGAATAGAGACGTTCTCTCTAGAGAATTTGAGCACATAATTTAGGGTTTTTCTCCTTCAGAGTTTGTATTTATTTCTCTGTATTAGGCTAAAATCTTTTACCAGCTTCAAAATCATGGAGACTGTGGTGTGTTTATTTTCTTTAATTTTATCTTATTGTGGGAAGAACATTAACATGAGACCTGGCCTCTTCACTTATCTTTAAGTGTACAATACCTTATTCTTGACTCCACATACAATGCTGTATAGATCTCTAGAACTTATTCATCTTGCTTAACTGAAACTTTGTGCCCATTTATTAGTAACTCCCATTTCCCCCTCCCCTGGTACCTGGTAACCAGTATTCCACTCTTTGATTCTATGAATTTGACTATTTTAGATACCTCAAACTAGTGGAATTGTGCAGTATTTGTCTTTCTATGACTGGCTTACTTCACATAGTGTAATGTCCTTCAGGTTCATCCAAGTTGTCACATGTTGCAGAATTTTCTTCTTTTTTAAGGCTGAATAGTACTCACTTGTACATATATACCACTTGGCTAGGATGTGGAGAAATTGGAACCCTTATGGACTGTTGGTAAGAATGCAAAATGATGCAGCTGCTGTGGAAAACAGCATGGAGGTGTCTCAAAAAATCAAAAATAGAACTAGCATATGATCCAGCAATCCCACTTTTGGGTATTTATTCAAAAGAATTGAAATCAGGATCTCAAAGAGATATTAGCATTTCAATGTCACTAAGCACTATTCACAACAGCCAAGATGTGGAGACAACCTAAATGCCCATTGACAGATAATTGGTGTGTTTATTTTCCCACTGAATTAACAAAGTTCAGGGTTATCAACAGTCTGGTTGCCAGAAGTTAATCTACCTTTCTTCCTTAATAAATTTTGGGTGACCTCAGAAGAATCCCAAGGGTCCTATTTGCAAAAGAATTATGAAGCTACCAGAAACGAGGGCTTTGGGGCATTCAAGATCAAGTTTCAATTTGAACACTGCCTCCTAAACCATGAAAAAGCTACCCTAGGAAGGCAAGCAGCTCTCTTTTTGAGGAAGAATAAACTGAAGAGTATGTGTCTTGCTCTGGGACATATGACACATCACAGTGATTATTGTGTATACTAAGTAACTTTCCAACTCAGCCACTAAGGACTAAGTCTGGTGCCCTGAGACTGAAGGAAAAAAACCATCTAGTCAACATAAGTGGAGCCATCCAAAGTTAGGATGGAAAGAGCTATGGTCCTGAATGAGTCTAGACAGATCAAATCACTGAGGAAGGAAGGCAAGCCACAGCCCAGGAGTGGGTCTCAGGGGGTAGCCGTGGCCTTGAGAATAGTCGGAGATGGAGATTATACCCACTGAGGAAGCTCTGCTTCCAAGGACTGGCCTGTAGACATGCAATGTCCTTACAGCCTGGACTTCAGGACAGGCCCTGTTTCTGGCCCACTCCCTCTTGGGTATGTTTATCCTCCTCAGGGCAGGGATCCTTTTTATATTTTGAACGCAGGTCACTGTGACCCTAAATTCCTGTCACTTATGGAGGAATATTTATAATCATTCTCTCAGGAAAGAGAGACGGCAATTATCCCTTCTATTCTGCCACTTTCTATTTTTCCATCCCCCCCACCTGTTTTTAAAAGAAACTTGTTAGCAACGTCAAAAAAATAAAGTAGATGATGATAAGAAGAGTTAACAGTTATATCTGTTTCCTAATATCTTCTGCCAAAGGATTCTATAAAATGGACATTCTCAACCTTTGTAAGTTGTGTCACTCTATCTTTGATTGACCTGGAAATCAGTGTTCCAGAAGAATTTTTGAGTCATAGACAAAGAAGTTACTGTGTTGTGTGGTTTCCAATCACAAAGGTAATATGAAATTTACTGCTTCTCAGACTGAAAAGCCATGAGAATACAAGATAATGTCTATAGAAGCAAATGCTCGATTAGCTTAGGAAAAATGGATAACATATATTCACTATGCTATTTAAAACTTGTCACAATGAACATCCAAGGCAAAACTAACAGTTCCTCTGAATCACAGAATTAACAATGTGACTACAAAATGATGATAAAGCCAGAATGTTTTAAAAGTTAAGAAAATCTAGCATCTTTCCTCCATCAACATCACAGTCCTTTTACATTCCCTTAGTTTACTTTTTTATACCCTTATATAACTCAAATATCTCTATTTTCCTCTGTTCCAGCATCATATGAGAATATAGGTTAAAAAAAAAACTAAGAAGGAAAAATTCGTCTGCAGCTGGACATTGTAGAACACTGCCCACCGGCTTTGGTAAAGATGCCGCTGATGTTTTTTGCATTTCAAATGCCCTCTTAGGCTTCGAGTATTTATCTCGCTGTGCATGGTTGCCGAACACTGGAGGGAGCACTACTGAGGAGGATTTGAGAAGGCTCAGAGGAGCCAGAGGAATAAGAAATGCACAGAGATTTCAAAGAAACAGGTAATAAGAGAGACCAAGGTATAAAAGAGGAACACAGCAAATTTTGAGATGCCCACATCAAACCCAGGCAAGAGTGAAAAAGAACCTTGTTATACCTCCCTTCCCCAGCCCACTGAGAAAGCTCTGTCCTGCCACGTCTCTCCAACTTTGGCAAAGTTACAACCCAGTCATAACCTTAACGAGCAAGACGCACCCTGCTTGAGACCTGTTCAAATCGTTAGAAATGCTGAGACTAGGACTAAAGAACACCTGCCCTCGACGCCTGTCTTCCAGATGCCAAGTCTCGCCCACCCCCTTGAACTCCTTAGAATGCCCACCCCTGAGAACAAGTGCAAACTCATTCCAGAAGGAGAGGGCACAGAAGTGATCTTGAAAGGACTTGCTCTGAGTTTCAAAGCTGACTCTTGAGCTCTTTAGCTTCCTCTTCCAACAAACAAGCCCATGGTATGTTGGCATGAGTTCATACCCAGGCTTGGCCCATGTGATATTTATTTAGCTTCCATAACTAGATGTATAGAGGATGTGAAGAATACACCAAGACATCAGCCTTACTCAATTCACTGCCTACAAAAAAGAAACTTGGTTTGCCTTTCAAAGCCTAGTATAATAGTGACAAGGTCTCATCTCTTCCTTAGAAGAGGCTCCTTTCCCAGCTGGGCCCTCCCTACCCAGCTTGGAGCATGCCGAGTCTGCCCACAGCGGCTCCCTCACCTGTGCACTTGCAGGTCCAGTCGAAGAACTTCCTTGGCCACCGTTCTCGGTCATCCTGGTTTCGCAAGATGTAAGGACCGCTCCAGGGCCTGGTGTCAGTTTCCACCTCTGTGCACTGGCCCCGGCCCTCCTGAGAGCCACAGACATTGGCCGGCTCCATGCCCAGTGGCGGGCAGCACTCCTTGGACAGCAGGCTGTCCACTGTCATGCAGACCCGGGGGAACTGCGCCCAGGCTCCAGGCAGGAGTCCACAGCCCAGGCAGCTGAGCAGAAGCCCCCACCGAAGGGAGCTCATGGCTTTATAACCAGGAGAACTCTCTTGCACTTTCCACTCCTTGCTTCTATCCTGCCTTTCTCCTTGTCTTCCACTCTTTGGCTCTTGAGCATTCATTCAGTTTTTGATTTTGGAGGATTGGTATATTTTGGTATATTTTTGTTTTTTGTTCTTTTCCTCTGCTCTTTAAAAAATACCCACAAAAATCATAGAACGCACGTGTGTACGTGCACATGCACAGACTATTCTATGTGATTCAAACAACTAAAACAAATTTAATTCCATCAGAAGCGCCTCTAACAGCCAGATTTAATGAGGGTAGCGCTTCTCAGCATCTTCCCCCCATTAAATCAGGCTTTATCTAATGGAGTTAATTTACGGAGCGCTCCAGTCACAGGACTTATTATGCTGGTATTTCTAAACCCCTCCTTCCCTCCTTAGCCCATGACTTTAATTGCCTTGAACTCAGTTCAAAAGCCAAACGCCGTGCTGCGGTTATTCTGTCTGGCTTGCCAAGCCACGGGGCCTTGTGGGTTTGTGTAAGGGCTGGGAGAAGCCGTCATTAGGGGGATTAGTATTGCAGAAATCCTCATCGTTAGCACATGACCCAAAGTGCACAGTGAAGTAGATAAAGTTTCTGGCTTTGTTTCAAGAGGGCAAAACCATCTTCATTATCTGGGCTCGCGTGCTCCAGCCAAGCTTGTGACCTCAGACTTCCCAGGGAGTCAATAGATGCACTGAGCTCGTTGTCAAAGGCCCTTTATAGACAAGTGCGCATTGCTAACTACATTTCACTCCTGACTGCTTCCTGACGTGCTAGAAAGACCGCTACAGGAGGTCACACAACTTCAGAAATAAAGAAACATTTATTTAGGGCTGACGTACAAACAATTGCTTTGTTCCACAATTAGGGACCCTTTTCCCTCCAAATAATAACTTACTATTCTCTTATGCAGCAGATTTTTTTAATTATACAAAGTATCACACCACCAGAAATTCAAAATTGTCACTATCTGATTGTAAGGAAGGCAGTGGGACAATTTGGGGCAAGCACTTGCAAGTGACATCTTTTGATTTATGTTAAAGTTAAGCGTTGTCAAGCTTCAATCTAGAAGGCAAAGCCTCCCCCACTGCTTCTGAGGGCAGCGAGGGGAGCATCCAGACCAGCAGTGGTGGCCACTGTCAGAGCATGCATTTACCCCTTCATGGTGGAACCAAGACTGTCTAGGCGCCAAAACGGCCTGTAGAGACAGCTGATGTAAAACTTGTTCAAACAGTTTCAGAGAATAATTTATATGGGGGCATAAAGATTCAGAATGCTATATTCTAAAGCAAAATCCTAAGGTTAAAAATATTTTTCTCTAGCTGTTCCTGTCCCATGTACTTCTGTGTCACCCCCATGATATTAAGTTGTTGTGACTAATTAAATGGCACTTCTCAACTCTGGCTGTGCACCAGTGCCAGTTGGTACCCCAAGCCCATTAAAGCAGAAGCTCTGAGGTTGTGGCCCAGACTTCAGCATTTTGTTTTGTTTTGTTTTGTTTTGTTTTGTTTGGAGGAAGATTAGCCCTCAGCTAACTACTGCCAGTCCTCCTCTTTTTGCTGAGGAAGCCTGGCTCTGAGCTAACATCCGTGCCCATCTTCCTCTAGTTTATACGTGGGACGCCTACCACAGCATGGCTGCCAAGCAGTGCCATGTCCGCACCCGGGATCCGAACCAGCGAACCCCGGGCCGCCGAGAAGCGGAACGTGCGAACTTAACCACTGCGCCACCAGGCCGGCCCCAGACGTCAGCATTTTTTGTAAGTTCTCCAGACCATTCTAATGTGCAGCCAGAGTTAAGAATCACTGGGTCAGGATAAGCCGCAGCTCCAAAAGAAATGTGGAATAGATTCAGCTAGAAGATTCCATATGTGTTAGTTTTCCCAGGCTGCCTTAACAAATTACCATAAACTGCATGGCTTAAAATAGCAGAAATTTGTTCTCTTGCAGTTCTGAAGACCAGACGTCCAAAATCTATGTGTCAGTAGGGCTATACTCTCTCTGAAAGCTCCAAGGGAAAATCCTTGACTCTTCTAGCTTCTGGTGGCTGCTGCCATTCCTGAGCTTTCTTGGTTTTGAGGTCACATCATTCCAATCTCTGCATAGCCACCCGGCCTCCTCCTCTTGTGTCTGTGTCTCTCCTCTGTGTGTCTAAGGACACTTGTCATTGGATTTAGGGCCTACCTGGATAATCCACAATGGTCTTGATAAACAAATGGCAAGCAATAGGATATATTGGAGTATATGAGGAAGCCATTTGGTGTAAACCTAATTTAGTCTAACCCTGTTTTTTTTTCCAAAAGGGCCTGACATGGCCGTTGAGCATGCATTGTATAGATGCTTTAAGCATTTGCTATGTCCCAAAGACAAGAACAAATGGCCTTAAGATAAAGATGCAACTTCTTCCACATTGGCATTTCCTTAAGGATGAGCATCTCTCCCTAGGCTAGGATTTGATTGCTGTGCCCACCCTGTGACCACTCACCTTGAGACAACAGACGGGCTACCTGCTGTGTCCACTGAGACAGCAGACCTACTACCTGCTACGTCCATCAATTGCTGTGCTGATGGGGCAATCTCATGACTATTGTAAAAGGGACATTTCAATCATGTGTGATACATGCTCTTTGATGGTATGTAACACTCTGTTCACCCCCACTTCTTTGTGCCCTTCCTTCCTTGGGGAAGGAAGTCTCCAGGCTGAGCTAGTTCTTAGATCTGGCTTATAATAAACTCACCTCAATTTTCATTTATAGATTGGTTTTGGATTATTTTTGTCAATAATCTCATCTTGAGATTCTTAATTTAATTATGTCTGCAAAGACCCTTTTACCAAATAAGGTCACATTCACAGGTTCTGGGGCATGGACATATCTTTTTGGAGGCCACATTCAACCCACCACATCATGGCTATGAATTTTGAATAATACTGAAATTGCAGTATCTCAGAATTGGAATGGTGTTTTGGAGCTCATTCAGTGATTCCACATGTATTTATCAATCCACTTCATGCCAGCATCATGACACTTTGGGATTTCCTTCTGTTTTGTGAAACCCTAGGGTTCCATAAACATTAGATTCAAATTTTTTGGATATTGACACTGATGGAGTCAACAACTCTCATGTTGGAATATCTCCAGGTCTAGATCCTGAGATTTCTTTCATAACAGCTCTTGCTACATAAATTGCCTAGTCTGGAGCTTTATATGCAGGCTATCATGATGTCCCAAAATTACAACCCTGGTCCTGACCTCAGCTGTGAGTTCTAACTTCCTACTTGACCTCTCTACTTGGAGGTCTAGACATCTCTCCCTCAACCTGTTCAAAGGAGAACTTTCAGTCTCTCCTTCCAAATTTGTTCCGCCATCAATCTTCTCCATCTTAATAAAGAGCACCCCCACTATCCTATAAGAGGCCCTTGATTCTTTTCCTTCTTGCCTCCTTCATATATGCTTCCCACTGCACTTAGAGTAAAATCCAAGGTCCTTTTCCTGCCCTACTCAAAATGTGGTCCACAGATCCATGAACATCTATTCCTGGTCTGCATCAAGATAAGTACAGTAAAGAGAGAAATTGAGCCAGCATGTAACTGTCATAGCAATTTGACATTGCTACAAGTTTCAAGCACATGATCATTGGACTCATCTCATTGAAGACAGCATGGTCCATTTGGGGAGTTGTCAAGCTTGCATAGTGATGATCTTGTCTCACAATCTGCAAACTAGTCATGTTGGATGGCATGTTGGTCTGTGACTGAAAAATTTTTTTAAAAAAAGAAAAAACTTTGAGTTCTTTACCATAGATAGTTTGAGAAGAACTGGTGTATAAGATCCTCCATGACCTTGTCCCTCTCCTGTCTCTCTTTCCCTCTGTTCTGCAATCGCAGAGCACAGCAATTACTCAGTTACTCAAATGTTTCACATTCATTTCTACCTTGGCCTTTGTACTGTTGTTCTGCCTGCCTGGAATGTTCTTGCTCAGAATCCTCCTTGTTTTCAGGTTTCAGCTCAAATGTTAGCTCCTGAGAGAAGTCGTCCAGACCCCTCACTTTACTGTGTCTACCCCCAGCCACCTACTCTCTATCACATTGCATTATTTTTCCTTCATAGCACTTATCACTATCTAAAATTCTCCTACTTAACGGTTTAGTTGCTGATAGTCTGTCTCCTCTACCCAAGTATAAATTCCAGGAGAGCAAGAACCTTAACCATGTTGTATTTCCCCGATGCCAAGTACAGTGCTTGGCAAAGAGAGGCTACTTGAGAGCAGTTAATGAGTAAATAGACCCAATTCAATTTTTTGAGTTCATCAGAAGGGCTTCACCATTATAGTGATTGGCTTTACACAAATTAAATGTTGTTAGTTTGGCTATATAAAATAAATTTAGAATAATTAATACCACCATTATGTTGGAGGTTCCATTTCATATTTTGTTATAACTGCTAAAAATGTTTGAAAATCAGTGGCCCAGTCCAACACTCTACTGTGGTCCCCACATCAACACCACCAATAAATCCCCTCCTCACTATTTCTGACAAGGTATCACCAGTGTCTGATTAAACACCTCTAGTAAGGAGGTTCCTTTAAGAAATAGTTCTAAGGATTAGGAAATTCTTCCTTTTTAATAAATATTTAACATAATTTGAATGTAAATTTAAACGCAAATATTTAGTGAAAATTTCCTCTACCAATGCTTCCACCAAAAGCCCTTGGGGACCCCTTCAGATGCCCTAGAATGGGTACAGTCCATTTTCCATAGGATTTTCATCCTTATTTTTTCTCTTTCAGAATAAATTTCCTCAGTTCCTTCCATTTTTCCTTCATATGACCTAGTTTTCAATCCTCCCATCAGCCTCGTCTCTCTTTTTTTGGAAAATTCAATTTGCTATATGACCTCTTGATGCATGTAACTTAATTCAAGATTCCTGATATGAGCTAAGAAAAGATGACTAAAACATTAGCTCATGAGCTTTGCTTAGCAGTCACATCACCCCATCAATTTTGTGTCTGTTAGCTTAGGCTAAGTCATGCTGCAGTTAAGACCTCAAAATCTTGTTGGGTTATGAAACAAATGTGAAACAGCTGTAGCTATGCTCCACAATGCCATCGTTCCACGACTCAGGGAGAAGGAGCATCTTTTCATTCCTTTTCTCATATTGTTCATCTTGTGGCAAAGAAGGCAGTCATGGGCTACTCTTGAAAGTGCAGCCCACCTCATTTACTTCTGCTCACATTCCATTGGTAAGAGCAAGTCCGTGGCCAAGATTGCTGCCTCTGTCTTTGAGAGGATCTTTAGGAGGATCCCTACAGTGAGGGTCAGCACTGTTTTATTTTTACTGCATTTAAAGTCAATTTAAATCCCTACGTTTCTTTCATATGGTTTTCACATGACTACTTTAAAGTCAAATGCTTCTCCTAGCCCCATTCCCTGTTCTTTTCTTGTGAATTGTCTTTTGGGGTCTGTATTAGTTTGCTAGGGTTGCCATAACAAAATACCATAACAAACAGAAATTTATTTTCTCACAATTCTGAAGGATGGAAGTCCAAGATCAAGGTGTCGGCAGGGTTGGTTTCACCCGAAGCCTCTCTCCTTGGTTTGCATGTGGCCATCCTCTTGCTGTCTCTTCACCTGGTCTTTTTGCCATGCATGCACACTCGTGGTGTCTCCTTGTGTGTCCAAATTTCCTCTTCCTATAAGGGCACCAGTCAAAATGGATTAGGGTCTACCATAATGGTCTCTTTTTAACTTAATCACTTCTTTGAAGGCCTTGACTCCATATACAGTTATATTCTGAGGTACTAAGGGCTATGGTTTCAACATATTAATTTTGGGGGAACACAATTCAGCCCATAACAGGATAACAGGATCTAAACGCAAGAATTTACTTTTGCCTCTATTAAATTAGTGTACCAAACAATATGATTTCTCTCATTCCAGCCTACATCTTAACCACACATTTGGTTGGCCTGTCATCATTGTCTTCATAACCCAATTCATGAGTGAAAATGATAAAGAGAGTAGAGGTATATGGCAGGACCCTGGGGGCATGCCACTCAAACAGATGCTTCCAACTCTGGGGGTTTCAGGATGGACTTCAGGGAGCACTTGAACATCCTGAAATTGTATAGAGAATGTAGCATAGGACTTTTTCTCTGAAGAAAATTCACAGATTTTTGTTAGCTTCTCAAATGGATCCATGACCCAGACTTTGAGACTTCAGCACAGATAAAACCCTAGAGTTCCCAAAGAGAGAACTGAGAGAGACACTATGGACACCATTGACGCTTCCAAAGTATCTATGGCCATTAACCACCATTCTGCTTGTCCACAGTGGAGGAATTTATATAGTTTCTGCCCTTTTCCTAGGATGGCAGAGACCCAGAGGCTTCTCATACTCACCTTGGCTTTGGGGAAAAGGCTTAAATGGTTAAAGGGAAAGGCTTAAACCAGGCTGCCACCTCATCCGCCTTGCACATCATAAGCACTTTAAAAATATT